CAGGACACCATGGACGCCAACATGACGGTCATAGGTGAGTGCGGCACGCCAGCATGACGGGGATAGGGGAGTGGGGCACGCCAATATGACGGTCACAGGTGGGTGGGGCACGCCAGCATGACGGTCTAGGTGAGTGGGAGAAGCCAGCATGACAGGGATAGGTGAGGGGGACACGCCAGCATGACGGTCATTAGAGAGTGGGAGAAGCCAGCATGACGGGGATAAGTGAGTGCGGCACGCCAACATGACGGGGATAGGTAAGTGGGGCACGCCAACATGACGGTCACAGGTGAGTGGGGCACGCCAGCATGACGGTCTAGGTGAGTGGGAGAAGCCAGCATGACGGGGATAGGTGAGTGCGGCACGTCAGCATGAAGGGGATAGGTAAGTGCGGCACGCCAGCATGACGGTCACAGGTGAATGCGGCACGCCAGCATAACGGTCTAGGTGAGTGGGGACACGCCAGCATGACAGGGATAGGTGAGGGGGACATGCCAGCATGACGGGGAAAGGTGAGGGGAACACGCTAGCATGACGGTCATAAGAGAGTGGGAGAATCAGCATGACAGGGATAGGTGAGTGGGAGAAGCCAGCATGACGGGGGAAGGTGAGGGCGACTGACACAGGCGGAGAGGTGAGTGGGCGCTCGCTAACAGAGGGTCTTACAAGAGGCTCTAGAATCTGTAAGTGGCGAGGCCATTATGCAGTCGATGTTAGCACAAGGGAATGTGATTTAATTGGGTGATTTTTCATATTCTCAAAGAACACTTGTGTTGGTAGAACAAGATATATAAATTCTTTAAATTAGGCCAGCAGAGGCAGAGTAATAATTTTAAGGGCCAGTCCTGTCACGCTAGATTATTGAAGGCCGTTCAACACCCTTCGGCGCACAGAGCATTCTCGGTCATTTCCATTACCATGAGGTTCATCCTGCCATTTCATGAAGTATCCTTACGAGCACCCTGGCCGCCCCTGACTCCCTCTCCCGCAGAGGAGCCCCTCAAGGGACCCAGCATCACGGGCAACGAGAACCGCAGTGCCTACCGCGTCGGCGACCTCCTGCTGCTCAACTGCTCGTCCACCTTCTCGTACCCGCCCACCACGCTCAGCTGGGACATCGACGGCCACAAGGTCAGTGAGGACGCCATGCATTCGCGGGCGGCCGGGAGAGGCATAAGCTCCTTAACATGAGCCCAATACGAGCAGTCAATTTAAGGGGCGCTGAAAAGAAAAAGATTTCGCCTCACGTTAAGACTCTTTCGCAGATGCACAGACGCGGTAAGAACTTTTCAAATCATTAGGTATTTAAGCTTATGTAAGCTGGCCATGAAAGAAGCCTTACTGCTTTCACTCTATGGCGCTCGATATCCAAGTCCGTCCCTCCTGCTTAGACACAGGCAAAGGTGAACGAATGCTTTTATTCAAGCATGTTTGTTCGTCTGGCGTCGAGCATAGCAGCGTGGTGCATTTGCAGAGGCGAGTGAATTAAGAGAGCGAACTAAGAGAGTGAATTAAGAGTGCCTTCTTAAAACGCCCGCAATAAAGACCGAAAATATACAGTGCTTAAAGACGGGCGAACCTCTTAATGGCTGGTAATATTGAAACATCATTTTGCGGGAACTGATGCCTTTTTCCAGGTCCAGATTTATTGGTATTGTGTCCTGTGCTTTTCCAGTAATATCACTATTGGATATTCACTTTCAGTAAACTTGCTTTCATTACTTTGGGGGCAATAAATATCCTTTGTTCGATGCACTTTTAATATGTCGTCTAATTTTCTTTACTTCATGCATTAATGCTTTCATGGCTTCACATTCTTTTGGATAACTGTTCGCTGTAGACAGCAAATGAATGACAGCAGAAGCCTGTTTGAGAATGGACATTTAAATGCTCTATTTAGCCAGCTACAATATACACCATTTCAATTATGAGTAATTACATCATGCACTATACATATTCAGCACCGATGAAGTTCTATATAACACAATGCATACCACATCATAAACATCAACCACTATAACTTCCGCCTATCTTAGTCACTCATTATCCTTCCGAAATATGTGAAGTAAAAAAGAAAGAGGAACTCCTGTACTTAAAAAAAAAAAAAAAATGAAAATAAAATCACACACCAAACTCATTAGGCCATATTTTCCCCGAGGCAATACTCTCGCCGCTCAGATGTGTGTTCGGGCCCGGCGATACCCATTAGAGAGGAAATTGGCGGTGGTGGTGATGGGATGATGATGATGGGGGTTGATGGTGGTGATGATGGTGGCGGTGGTGCTGATAGTGATGATGATGATGAGTGTGGGGATAATTCAACGAATGATTATCATGATATTTCATTTCAAGTGAGAACGATAAAAATGTTAACAATAATTATGATATTAGTGATAACATGATGATAAAAGTAGCAGTAATAATAATGATAAAGATAATAATGATGACAATAGTAATAATGATATTGATAATAATGATGATATTAGTCATGAACATAATA